AATATTTGGAATGTATATGCTGTTAGGACTTAATTATTTTTATTCTGTTAAACCATAACGGAGAGAAATACTGTAAAGACCAAATGAATCGTTAAAAAGTTTTAGATTGATATATATTCTATCTGAAAGATTAAAGCAAACTTTCAAGGTAATTATGTCATTCAAGTTCGACAGAAATCATGTTACTAAGTATTTCATCTTATTTATAGCCAGTCAAGAGGAATACTTGTACTTCACTTCACCGCATTTGTGAGTAAAATATTGAATATATAATAATCTAATACATTACATAATGTATATATAGATGAGCCAAGCGAATTTTAGTCAATTTGTGTATTTTAAAGATCATATGATCTTGACAATTGGTTCTGGAGAAATTGAACATATTCGAATCATTTCTTACATAACTATTTATAAAAAAGAGCTGTATTATCCTCGAATAAGGGACTAATCTTATTATATCAAAAAGAAATATAAAAATTCTTTTACAGCCTCAAAGCTTTAAAATAATGTTTCGTTTTTGTGAAAATACTATTTCAAAGGATATTCAGTCCGAAATCTAGTTAACAGACATATCTTTAACTGACATTTCCTATTTCTATATCGGTGTTTACCAAAGTCTGTTCTATATTCTATATTCTTCTGTGTAGTTGGTTCCAAGGTTTCATCTTTGATTAAAAAAATACAACAAAGAACGTTTTTATTATATAGTTACTTTAAAATAAACAGAAAAATGATAATCTATAACTGGATATTAGTAAAATAGATAGGTTTAGGGTAACAAAGAGTTAGTAACATAAATATAAACTTTTTATATTGATTAGTTGAAAAGTAAATTGACCTCTATTTCCACATTAATTGATTAAATTTGATGTTTATCTTTCGTTTTTCAGGTTTATAAATTGAAATGAAACTCTAGTTTGATTTTAAATGAATAAAGTTAAATGAAGTTACGTAAAGGTTTAGTGCATTTGTAGTGTCGGTTATTATGTTAAGCCCATATACCTTATTTTAGCTTTCGGACAGCTCATTCTGTTCATTCCACTTGAGTCACATTTTGACCTTGTTAATTATTCGCTTATCAACCTTGACTGTTTTTATATCAGCGCGTAGGTGTGTGTACACTTCTTATCCCATTACTCATCACATGTCTGTAACCTATTTTTAGTGTAACTATAACTAGTGGTTAACGCTTGGTTAAATGAGAGTTGACAGATAATTCCCATTTAAACATTAAAATTAAAACACGAATTTCAGCGAAGGGATCTCTTTTCAACGAATTTATTATCAAGCTGTACAATCGTATATATATTAACTTTGTTCACATTTCCTGACAGAATTAGTACTTTTACAAAAACAAAATTTTCATATATATACGATTGTACAGCTTGATAATAAATTCTTTGAATAGAGATCCCTTCGCTGAAATTCGTGTTTTAATTTTAATGTTTAAATGAGAGTTGGTTTACCAGTCACTTCCACTGCTCGTCGTTTTGCTTTGTTCTATTCCATTCGCTTTATATAAAAAATATGTGTGTTCACAAGTCCATTCTCGTTATTCGACTTATTTAAATCCCGTTATTGACTAACGCTATTTAAGTCGATGATTATATACGAGGATAGGCGATAACAAACATTCATACGATCTAATTGGAGTCAGATTTCGGTCCACTAAACATTGAACAATTCAATATTCTTATCTGAAAAACGTTTATTTTATGAAGTATGATATATGTAGAGGTTACAAACTATTAACTGTTTCACTCAAGACAATATTCGTTATATTACCATTAGATTAGGTTTTGAATTATCCTGATGTTGTTAATGATTGACTGAATTGCGATCAATTTTATTGACAAATGTAAATCCTATACGATGCTCAATGAATAACGTGTTGTCAGTTTAAGGCAAAAAGTACTAGGTTATAGAATTGATGTAAAATTCAACGATGGGAAACACGTGTATTCAGTCGATGAGTACCAATTATGATGAAACAAAACACCTTGATTCCTCTATTAACCACAATCCTTTATTCATATAACGACTAAACTTTGTATTTCTACAAAAAATATACTTGTTATCAGCTTTGGTACTGAATGCATCATGCATTCACCAATTTCGCATTCGATATAAATTTAAAGCTAGTTTTAATCAAGTATTGATATCATCTGAAAATCTGATGAAAACTACATCGGATTGAGTGACTGTTATGCTTAGTCTCATTATAAGTCTAAACTGTTTAGTGTTTAACATATATATATATATATATATATATATATATATATATATATATATATATATATATATATATATATATATATATATATATATATATACACGATACTTTCAACCTCTCATCCTTCCTTGGCCCTAATCCCCTTAATGGGCATGTTTCTGGTTATTTGCGTGTTTTTTTCCCTTTCATTTGATTATTATTGAATTTCAATAGTTGAAATCATGAGACAGTTGAAGTTAGACCAGCATGGAAAACCTGGAAGCACTGGACGGCCGTTTCGTTCTAGTATGGGGCTCTTCGGCAGCGCGCATCTACGATCCCGCACCCCGCGAGATTCGAACACAGGACCCATACTAGGACAAAACGGCCGTGCAGTGCTTCCAGGTTTTCCATGCTGGTCTAGCTTCAATCGACTCATGATTTCAATGTGTGAGATTTCTTCATATCTAACAATTGGACCTATAAATTATTTTCTTCCTTACCCGTTGATTAGTATGTAACCTCATTTGTTATTTAGCCACAAATCCATTTTATGATGCAATCTTTTGTATCCTCCTATAAACATTTGTTTTCCATATAACTATATATACGAATGTACAGCTTAAGCAAATGATTTTGTCGAAATGAAGATTACATATATGGCAATTATTGCTTGAGAAAACTACTATTTAATGATGATAAAATTAAGTAGTAACAAAATAGTAATGATTACAGTCCTTATCATAATGTATGTGACATGTTTACATTGTCCTGAGTAAAATATTGTAAATTTTGAAAATCTAAACTAAACTTAATCCTTTATAAATCAAATATTATTGAAGTGAAATTAAAAACGTTTCACATTATGCACTAAGAATAGTTATTTTCATTAAAATAATTAGAACATTCTTTTTGTTTTTACATTTTGGTAATTGAGTAATTTGATGTTTCTGTTCACATTATAAAGCCCTTGTTATTAACCCAATCTATCAGACAATGTTTTCTATTTTCATATTTTTAAAGTTAAGCTGTTTTCTATTCAATGTGATATTTTTCATCAATTAAAAATTCTATACTTTTACCTGACCTTATTTATTTATGAATAGAAATGTTATCTTAGAAACAAATTGAACATTGAATCATATAAAACATATTACTCTAGCAAACTTAACACCTAATGAAATAAAAATGATAATTTTTGTATGTACAGGGAGTCTTCTTTTAAGGAATTTAAAACAATTAGTCCCTTTGATAAATTTCCATAGTGTAATAAGAAGATGAAGATTATCCGAACTATGTAATGGTATATTGGGGCAATACAATTCGAACAATCTGGTCACACATATACTTGTAAAGAACATTTTCATATAAAAATAAAGGGTTAACTAGACTGGAAATGGGGGGGGGGGTTATAGGAGACAAAGATAACAAAGAAAATATGAAAAATAATGTAAAAACCCATTACACTGGATATTAATTTAATATTATCACGATAGGTTTAAGGTGAAAACAAGCTGTTTTTAACGACAGAGAGGAGGTATGAATTTTCGTATGGCTAAGGCTTCAATAAACCATAGTATACGCCCTTTTATACTTTTGTACAACACCAAAAAAGTCGAGTTAAGATCAATCTCATGACCTGTTTCAATTATGTGTTCGGCAATAGAGGATGATGGGTGTTTATCCTCTACTCTTATTGGATCATTTGATTTTCTTTATTTCTGCAATCATTTAGGTACATGTGTACATATGTTCTCATCTTAAATCTACCCTGATAATCTTAGCTTATTATCCAGATTGATGAGGTTTCAAACTATTTTGACATCATTTTGTTTTCTGATAATCTTCGTCTTCTTATTACACTATCGAAATTTATCAAACAGACTAATTGCCTCACATAAATATACGTAAATATTTTATGGTATTCAAATATTTTTTTTATTGTATTAAAGGAAGTAATAACAATCGTCAAAAAGTTTCATTTAGGTACTGCATTACAATTTTTAAACTGCCTTATCTGTCTTTCAATGGTATTCATGTTAATTTAGCATATCATTGCAATACAGATTAGTATTTCTACAAATTGTTGGTCAACTTTGGTTTTCTATAAAAAGTAACTTTATACTTATAATTTCACTTATTATATTGTTTATATTGTTATTAGCCGTTAATAAGTTGACGAAACAAAATGATTCCATGTTATTTAACTCAAATCTATTCAGGTTAATAAACATTTTAAAGTTTTATATAATACAATAAACCAAACTTTGATGAAAATCTTTTCGAACTAGTACACTACCATTCCTAAAAAACTAACCCAATGGTTTAGTTTATTGATAAATATATTTGAAGAAAGAACCACATATCTCAATTCAGAAAACATGAAATATCTTGTAAATTCCAATACTCTTGGATCTTTTTTCAATTATCGTGAACATGACTATTTGCTTAATCATTTCAGATGATGAGTATCTTGAGCAATAACTCAATAGTAATTAAAAACTTAAAAATGATTACGTTGACAGCTATTTCCTCATCACTTACAGTTCTCATCATCAACACCGTTAGCATAATCTGAACTGAAATGTAATTTTGATACTACTATTTGTTTTCAGTGATAATTTATGCGATTCTTATTCATGAATTTTGTAAACACACTGAGAAGTGATATATATACATAACTACTTTTCCAAAAATGTTTATATTTTTGTATACCGATTACTACTATTAAATAAATATATAATGCTCAAAAGATTAAAATTAACAAAATATAATGTAGACTTACCACAGAATTAGTTTCAAAATGACTCATCGCCCGTCTATCTCTTTCACGAGAAGCTTTTTGTATTGCTTCCATATCTTCAAGAAAATTTCCAGCTAATCTTTGAGCATGACGTGCTGCACCTTCCATATTCTCTCCTTGTACTTCAATTGTTACATAACCCAACATTATTAATAATGAATAAGTTTGTTTAATCACGCATTAAAGATATAATATATAATAAATCAGTAATAAGTATAATCACTTTTAAATAAAAAAAAATTGATGTTGATTATTAGTTATTATATATGTTTGTATGCTTTGTAGTCAGTTTTATTACCAAGTTTTCATGTAGTTTCGAACTAAGCGAATTTAAATACCTTGAAAATATTTGAATAACCCTCGTTATCAAAATGACCTTTAGAGTGAAAGTATTAGGTCTATTTATCTGATAAACGATTCATTTACAATAAATACTGTAGGTATTTATGGAGTATTTTAAAAAAAGTATTATTATGCTTCCCAGATGACAAAATCATAATTACCAATACCTTAGCCCAATGAATATTGGCTAAACAAATTGTGATTGGTTATAGTTACCACACAAATTTATACATTTCTGAAAAAATTCCTCATTTGGATAATAATATTCTTTAAACTCTTTGTCTATATGTGTGGGATGTGAAAATTTCTTTATGAGTGTGGGTGTTGAACACACATATATACACAAATACACATTGGATATAATGTAAAACATTTGAAATGGTCCTAAAATTGTACTTTCCAAAATTGTCCCAGGTTATATATTGATGCATTTTATTTGCTTATTATAAAACTCCTGACAAATATGTGAATAATTTCCTCTTTAAATCAATCTAATATATTAGTCAACCTACATATTCTTATCCATTTGTATTGAAATAGAACAGAATACAATAAAGTGTCTGGATTGTTTTTATTCATTTAAAAAAATGATAATAATGAATTTCCTATTAGTAACTTATTTAAGTAGTGCATATGAATTTGTACGAAAAAAGGGAAATATTCTTTGATAAACTAGTTATTTTATTGAATTATAAAAAGAAATTATTAAATTTATATAAAAGCATTAAAATAGTGTTTACTAGCTAAGCTTAATAATGAAATACGGTTTAGAATTGTCTATTGTGAAATAAAAGAAAGGCAATGGGGTGCTTATTTGTTTGCTAGTGATATTTATTTGCGACGAATGGAATTTATGGAATTTAGAGACTGATTAATTGCAGTTCTGAAGAACAATGGGAATTAAACGACAAGTAAACAACACCAAGTGAATATAGTTGATATTTAGTTAAAATAAACAAAGATCATAAATGAATTATTAAACTGATGAGAAAACATGGATTGTAAAGAAGTACATGGTAAGTATTCACGCATGGCATGGTATTTCTAAAACAGACAAATTGATGTCATTATAAATGATAGGAATATGAATTGAATTTTTCCGACTTACTATCAAATGGATATGGACAGAAATACTTTTTTCTAAAGTTTTTGTTTCCATAGTCATCATCTATAAATGATATTCTGATCTACTTGAATGCTATTACGAGTTGACTTTACTCGGTAAACGTAACGAATGTCACAAATACAGTGACACGATAGGCTATTCTAATCCGTTGTCCTTGGTTCTGCTAACTAGATTAAGAAGTCTTGCTAAGGCGTGGAGAATGTATTCTACAAGCAGCCAGGAAATACGAGGTTACTAAGCACACAATCAAGCTTATTTATACAATGACAGAAATGCCCTTGGGAGAGCCACAATATAGAGTACTAAAAACATCCGTCAACCAATGACAGTCAAGGATTTCTGAGTGGGAAATGTAAACTGTAGGTCAAATAAGCGTCTCTTGGCACGAGAACATAGAATTCAAATTTACAGTATAAAATTGCAAAATTAGGACCTTTTCCAAGTGAAATCTGGGGATCTAAGATCCTTAACATATCAAAGTTCTAAATTTTGTATTTAATTATTATATTCTATTATTCTCAATCATTTATACTAATGAGATTTATTTGAATGTCATCCAACAGTTACTGATTAAATCCTACTACAATTTACATTGATTTACATTTATTTACTTTGTAAAAACTGCATTATTTAAGCATATCTTATGAAAGGTATTGTAGAAACTACTTAAATGCACAATTGTACAGATCTATAATAATGTAATATTGTTTTAACTCTTTTTTCTATGATTTTGTGTATTTGTATAGTTGTTTTCGTTGATTTTCTAAACACTTTAAAGTATTTCATTACAGATGATTTACAAAATAGATATATTTGGTCCTTACTCCTATTCTCAAAGAAATTCTGTATGTACTGTAATTTCTCGAGTTCGACACTAAACTTTGGTGGACAACCTTAAACGACCTTTTAGCTAGTTGGTAAATATGTTATATAAATGAATAGTTGACTTCAGAAAACCAGAAAAAAATAAGCTAAATATATACTTTCAAAATGGATAATAAACAGATCAGAGCCCGTAATAGGATAGGTGGTTTTTAAATCAAAGTAGCTTAGATATGAAAAAGCTCGTCCGTATAACTTGAGTTTATTTTACTTGAAGAGGCATTTTAAGCTCCAAAATAATTTCATAATAATGACTACATTGGCAATGATCGCACTGATAGAGTTGACAAAATGACATTTACGGATGATCAGTCGATGACTGTAACCTTTAAACTCTTTAGTGGTGGAGATGATATCATTCACATAAATTGTAGTCAATGAATAACTTTTCTGTATTGATTAGGTTATGCAGAACAAGTAAACCTGAGGAACCTTGATTATGTACTGAATCACCCAAAGTGTATCAACTAGAAAACTGACGTTTCAGATGTGCTTGTAATAGTTTAAATTTCAAATTACATCATTTTACCCTGTGATTGCACAACCGTTATACTTAACAATTTTGAGCACCTTAGGAATTCAGTACAGACAATTTCTACTTAGCATCTAATCAGATACACTCCATTTAATGTGATGTTTTGAGTTTCTCACAAAATCAAAGATCCACTATCCTAAATCGTTCGTTCACCTTTTTCAGAAACTGTTATAAAGTAATTATATTTGTGCTGAACGGAAAAGTAATCAAAAAAATTAAAAAGTTATCTAGGCAATTTAACAATCAATCTTTCTGACAAATTTTGTTGTTTGAATTAATGCTTTCCAAAAGTATTTCAAATAGACGAAACATTCACTGTTTCTAAGAAGTGAGTTTTCTAAGAAAAGAGGGGAAATAATAATTTCCATACTTTAAAATTGTAACGAAACAATTTACTTTCAGATACTTTGAGTAATTTATAGTATTAAATATACTCGTAAAGTTGACTTCCATTCATCTGAGAAATTTTCTTAAACTATAAACTAACTTAATAATGACTTGGTTGTTTTATTTATACTAGTTTTAATTCTAATTCAGGGATGAAACTATAAACAACTATAATAATGCAGTGTGTATAATACGTATTATACAACGGTGGTCTTTTTTACAAAATATATCTTATGCATAAGAAAATGACGTCCAATCATTATGACTTAGATGCATTTCAGTATATGATAAAAGGAAAGAAATCGAAGGGAACTAACTAAATATACTTGTCTCCATGTTAGTCACACTAAATAATGTAAGATATAAATGTTGAAAACAGATTATAAAGACTGATAAACATCTAGTTGTTCTTATTTGAGATACTGAATATGAAATTTGAGTTTCTCAGAAATAAATTTATAACTTCTGAATAGTTTTAGTGAGAAATAGAGAACCTTTTTATTTATCTGAGTTACATATTGTGTTTTCCAAAGTTGACTAATGCAAGTTCGAGTAAAGTACGAACTGCCGCCTTGAGCTAAAACAAGGCATATTTACCGGTTTACTTGCTCTTGCATAGTTTTTATATTGAAAGCACCAAGTTTGCTCTTTCCAAACACATCTACGATCACTGTCCAGTATGGATATAGAAAGGCGAATATAAATCAATCAGCAGCTCGTTTGCTGAACATCTAGTCAATTCCGGTCGTTTGTCTTCACAGAAACCTCAATCAAAATTTTTCGCAAAGTAAAACGAACTAAATCGAAGGGAAGCTGGATAAGAAACTTATGCATAGTAAGGGCTTTGGCGATTCATCAGTCCAGGCTTAGTTTCTTTTGTCCAGAAGCGGTAAATCCAATCACTTATTTTAACATGATCTAACCACTCCTTCTTATTTTGTTGATTATTCTCAAACACATAACCTTTCTTCAAATGGACAGTCATCTTTTACTAATCTGTTCCATATCTTGTCTTCAGGTTCTTTTTTACGTGTCTGTTGATTCATTTATCGTCGTTCATAATCGTCAGGTGGATATTCTTTCAAATATCTTTTTCATACATTTTTTCATCATTATTATTATCCTTTGACCATGATATAACTTAAAATTCTGTGTAACATCTGGTACCGCTTTTAGTAACACAATAGTTCTCCATTTCATTATCGAACACTTTAAGTGAAAAATAGCTTTAAATACGGTTTTACAGCACTAGATGTGTATATAATCGAAAAGACAATTCTGTCGACTGATATTTCGCTGTTTTATTGAGACAGAACGGTACCATTATTGAGTTAAGTAGCCGTACCACAACGTTTACCAGAACAAAATGTATTCCTTACTAACATCTAGATCTACGCTACGAAGATTTTATACTAGATTTTCTTTTCCATACGATAAAGTTGTCAAAGATATCAAATATTAAATGTTGTCAAACGTGTTTTGTTTCCCAGTAATACAATGAAAAGTCACAAGTTGTTCGCGCACATGAAAAACATATGTATGATCAACAACATCATTTAATTTACACTCTTTAACTTTAATTATAAAAACAATTGGTGGTGATTTGCACACTACTTCAGGCATGTGGTAAAATCAATGTCAGCGGATTATTTTTCACATTTTATTTCATACTACTATTTAGTAGTTTGTATGGAAAGGCAAAGTCCACTGGAAAGTCTTAAGTAAGATACATAGTTTTTTTAAACTTGAAATGATTTTATTGTCTCTACTTTTAAATAAAGCGTTACATTCTAACAAGCGACGGATTAAAATTGATTTTGTTTCTTTAATTCCTTAAGCATGTTTCTTTC